AATTAACTATCTCTTGAAATTTAAATTTTCAATTAGCTTATTGTAAAATAGTGAAAACAATTCACGTTTTTTATGAAACTCAGTAGCGGCAAATATATTGACATAAATTTCATTATCATTACTTTAAAAAAATCAAAAATCGCCTCCTTGAAATTTTCACACCATGAATAGAAAAGATGCGTTTTAATTGTGTACTTTTTGTTCAAAAATTGTGACAGAGTAACGATATATTGTCTGTTACATCAGAAAAGACGTAATTTGTGTAGCGCCTGCAATAATTCGATAGCAATTCTGCCAATTCGTAATGTTGCTAGCATAAAAAATGTGATAAAATCCTAGAATTTATGCTCTTACACCAATGTATGCGAATTCAGAAATGACTTGAACAAAAAAGAATAAAAATATCATTAAAGAATAAAAAATTAATTATTTTATGTATGTATTGCTTATGAATATTCTTTTTCCTTGGATACGTAATACATACAAAATTTTTACGTACCTAATAATTAGAATAGAATAATTTTATGGGACACCAATCACCATATTGTAAATTACAATGCAATTTTTTTTGGTTTCAAAGTTCCATGTTACTGCTAGGTGTTACTTGACCAATCTATATTGGTCCCACATACCTACTTAATTTCAAAGTGTAGATATGTTTGCCTTTCCACAAATATTCCTACTAATATTATAAATGTGAAAGTAACTTTGTCTGTCTGTTACGCTTTCACGTCTAAACCACTGAACTGATTTTAATGAAATTTAGTACAGACATAGAGTTGACCTTGAGAAAGAACATAGGATAGTTTATATCCCAGACTTTTGTAAGGTTCTCTTGGAAACGCGGTATAATATATAAAACACAACAGCTTATTAGAAGCGTCCTTACTTTATTGGTAGGTATGTACTCGTTGGAAATAACTTAGGCTTTATAAACTAAAAAATAAAGTCCTACACGTCTTTATGTTCAAATGTTCATGTGATGATAAATTATTATGAAATATAAAGTGCCATTAATGAAATCAACTATAATGATATCAAACCCCGTATGTGGTGGGAATATGTGACTTAAATTTGGATTTTAAACTCTTTTGTTTTAATTTGTGATGGATATTGATTGTTTATCATTCTACACGTTAGTCGCAATAACACCTTAGATTGTGAACTTTATATCTTCTTCTTCAACCTGGCAATTTCCCAGATATATCCAGGGTCTACCTTACATGTTGTGAATAGTTTAGGCTATTTGTTTATACGACAAGCCGCCTGCCTGACATCAACCCTCTTTTGGGAATCAACATTAATCAGTGATATCTAAATAGTTTTAGAAAGTACATGTGACTCGGAAAAATACGTTGGTACTTGCCCGGGCCAGGCTCGAACCCGCGCCCTCGGAAACGAGAGGCGGGCCTTTTAACCACTAGGCCACCACTGACTCAGGTTGTGTACTTTATATGTCATGGACAAATTATCGCTTCTAGTTTTTAATACATCTAAATTATAATTGGTAGAAAACTAAGCCAATCCTTTGCCTTGCGAATGAGGATGAAGGAAATGTTTCATTTCATCCGGATGCGAGGAACAGACATAAAAAAAAATAGACTCGACACACGTCTGGTAATGTAATAACAAAAAAAGCAAACTGGAATTACCCCTGAAATTCGTACCTCTACTAACCAAAATGTTTCCTAAACAATAAAACTTTTAACCCACTTACCACTTAGAAGCCTTTTGGCTCGTCTCTCTGTACAACGCCTAAAGTAGTGCATTTTTGGCAGCGCCTACCCAAATATGACACCAGTATTTGCGACATGACCGGTTCTGAGCTTTGTGTAGAGACAAGCTAAATCGGCTCGAAATATTGCAGCGGTTTTGCAAAGCCAGAGTTTCCTTGCACATTCGAGGGCATTGTACTAAATAAATTGCAAAAATCTGAAGTTTATGAATTCGGCAACAGTAATAACCAAAGGCAGCTTAAGTTTTCCAAGGATTGAAAGTTAGATTCAAATTGAGCTGATTCCTTTTGGAGTTCAGCTTTTGGTTAACTTAACAAGATTAACATCAACACATTGTTAAAGTGTCTGAAAGGTAAAATTAACACGCCAAAACTTGGAATTTTATTTTAATCCCTATTAATCCCAACTGCAATCGAAATTGAATGAAAATAATATTTTATTTAATACTAAAAATCCATAAATAATACATTGCTATTATTACATCACTAGGTCTCTGCCTATCATCATCAGCGTATCAGAGCCCACTGCTGAATAAAGACTTATTTTCACATGGAGAAGATTTGATCATTAATCACCACCCCTGCTCAAGACGGGTTGGTCATTTCAAACTTATTATTATTCTAGGTTTCCTCACGATGTTTTCCATCATCTATCAGTGGTGTTTAAATACTCTTATAAAGTACATATGACTCGGAAAAATCACATTGGTACTTGCTAGGATCGAACCCGCGTCACGCACGAGATGCGAGCCTTTTAACCACTAAGCCAGCACTACACAAGAACTACACAAATAAAACAATTTACATTTTCGTCGTCATTTATTCATAAAGACAATTTCAATAAATGAACGCACTAAATTACAATATTGAGATATGTCACTTAGATATAAATCGGTGGCGGTTTATCAATTATTATATTGGTGTATTTCGTATCCCTTTAAAAGGTTTTAATTTCCACATAATATAACCACCACTCGCAATGTATACAACTAAGCTACAATACTTTAATCTATTGTTACAAGAACATTATTGGAAGACAAATCGTATGGCATATAATTTTTAGTACATTAATATTCTTTTATAACAAACTCACCGATCTAACGAACTATACGGAAAGCTACGGGTTATACAAAATAGGAAAATAGATGTTTTGTAAAGTATTGAAAAACTTCAGAAAAATTAGTGCGATAGATCGTTTTAGGTGGCACAATACAATAAAGAATATTTACATTACACGAAAAAAGCTATTAACAATAAAAATTTATATAAAAATCACAAGTAAGTAAGTAACAAGTAAATTTATTTAAAAAATTTAGCATTGAAACGATTTTAACACAGCAAGAGATGCGATTATGTACAGCTGAAGCTAGTGAGGGGAAAACTTCGATAAGATATTATCGATAACTAGTCTAGACTTAAAGATCGGTGAACAAAGTGATCATGATGAGTAGTGATCACATAACTTATATTACTTAAACGATATGTTTATATTGTTGAGTATTTAAAATAATTGAAAGCCATTTCACGCAAGCATTACACACAGCTTAACTAACAAAGCTTGGACACTAGTGTTTTATTTATACAAGGATATACAAGAAATTAAATATGTATACAAATGTCCAGTATATTATTACATTATGTATATATTTGTTTAATATCCATATACTTAAATATGTCGATAAATAAAGTTGGAAGCGAATAGAGGTAGGTCGTCAGAAATCATTATACAAATTATAATATATTATCTACACAATTATATAGCACTGAAATTATTAAAATTGTAATATTATCTTTCATACATATTTTATTAAAAGTCAATATGAAAATAAAATCCTAAGTAATTGTACATTGTAAGTCAAGGAAACTTATAAAAATTATATCGTCTTTACATTAAATGTTTAGATAAATTACCTAATACTAATTAATAATTATTAAATTACAATACATATTGTAAAAACTAAAACACTAGTGTCACGAAGTTTTGAACACATCACAACACCAAGTATCGGCCATGATGGCGAAAAAATTATTATTGCTTGTACACGTATCTTAGACCTCTACCGCAAACAATACGAACTAAAATTACTCTTAAAAGGTATAATAAATTATTATCATGTGATATGTTAATTTACAATACGTCGGGAACAACTTCAACCTTCAACAACGAATATAGACAAAGTCGGTAACATTATATATATCGTATGTACAATCAAACACTACAACAACTGAACTATCGATACTTTTTAAACTATCGATAAGTGACGACTGACGCGCGTCACTACTTGAGAGACAGACCGGCACTAATATGGCCTATTAAGTTTTTATATTTTCATAACATTAAACGCCCTTATTATGAATGAAATTATATAAAAATTAAACGAAATTTGAAAATTTTTAATTAAAACCTTACTTTACTTAAGGGCGAAAATATTAACATTTCTTTGGGACAACGCAATACATTGACATAGCATTGAAGCCATCTTAAAATTAGTTTTTAATGAAAACAAAATTATATTCAGAAATATTTCTTTCAATTTACCTAAAAAACACAATATTTTATTTCCAATGAAATTACGATACGTTATTACAGAAGTAGCTATCATTTAAAGAAATAAGAGTTTTGCATCGCCAAACTAACAAATGATAGTTTTGAAGTTTTTTCATTAAATTTCTTGTATCTTCGTATTGATGAAATGGGAAGGAGTATTAAAGATTCAGGTTAATTTTGACGACACAACCTCTTACAAATAACTGATTATTTTAAAACACTTTAAATAAAATTCCTTAAGAAACTGACATGTACAAAATAAAAATCTATTCATATAAATTAAACATATGTTTCTCTCATTTTAGTGAGAATAATATCAAAAATAAGAACAAAGTTAAACTCCAATATACATATACATATTATGCTTGGAATAAAAAATATCTTGAAATTAATTATTAAAAACGTTTGAAATATTTTTTAACCTAAATGACGTAACTAACGTAATTACATTCGTTAAGATCTTTAAAAAGAAATAAAAATTTAATTAAACTTATCGAAGCAAAACATAATTTTAATTGAATAACTGTGTATATAAAAATAAATACTTTAAACATAAAAAATAATCTAAAAACAAAACTGTTCTTAAAAATCTTAACATAAATAAGAATTAACGCAGATCAAAACCTAAAAATACTGAATCTTAGACTACAAACAAAAAAAAATACCCAAAAAGACATATAAACTGTAAAATAAAAACATCATATTAGCTCAGAATCCTCACTCCATAGTATCATATTGAACCTTTTTGACCTTCAAATACCTAAAGATCGCGTATCCCAATAGTGTGCCTGCTGTGGCAATAGCTAGGGCTGCGCCCACCGCCACCGGAGCCGCCTCAGAGCGTGAAAGGGACTCCGTACAATGCCATGGTGGACCAAACTCACCTTCTCGTTTAAACATAAACGGTTGAAGCCTCATTTGACGTAAATACAGCTTGGCGCGATGTGCTAACGTCGGGTTGCTAGGAATAATGTGATATTAAACAACTATTAGCTATGCTAGTAAATTAGCTTTAAGATATATCTAGTTTTGGTTATAAAATTCGTTAATTAGAGGTACGAATACTTTTTTTGATTGTTCAAAATTCGTTATAAATAGGTTCGAAAAGAATGTTAGCAATTTAGAGGTATATTTTTATAGAATCGTATGGATAATTTAAGGGGATTACGAAAATTTCGTTATATTGAGGTACGTTATATTAAGGTTGCAATGTACATAGATTTTACCTTTATTTATGAACAAATTAATACAATAAGTACGAAAAAATATTGTATTACTCTGATAATTACATGGTATTTTAATTAAATCTGCTTTAAAGCATCAAAAACATCGTTATCTTATTGAGAACATTATTATTATAATAAAGTTTGAAGAAAATTCTCTCTGTAAATAATTCATGCTTTCTATATTTAGCATAGAAATATATCCAAAACTTTCAATCCATGTTTATAGCAAATAATTTTATTTATGTCCAAAAAAAATTTAATCCCTAAGAACTCACCTAGGCTCATCTTCAGCTAATTCTACGATGGTTTCTTCCGGGCAGAAATATGATTTTCCTACAGGGGTTGGGAATAATAACGCTCTTGGCCCAGTAGTGAGAGTCACCTTCCTTCCTTGCTTGGCAGCATGCTCCAATATACGGGCGCTTGAGTTATATGTCAAGCGGAGACTGTCTACATACCAGCGCTCGCCGCCTGGAGTCTGAAATTATTCCGTCATGGAACGATTTCGTTTCGTTTCGTTTCGTTCGTTGGAAAATTTTATTCCAAAATATTTGAAGAGTCTTATCCAAGAATAATTCAAACCTAGATGTATTTAGGGTCTTTTTTTTTTTTTTTTGTTATCGCGGTGAAAGGTTTTATACCTACCCCTCCGTCTAGGGGAGACAGAGGCGGTTATGTGGGATTCACGGCCAGAAGGGCCCATGTTACCCACTAAAACACCAGCGGTCACTCTCCGTTGCCGCCAAGTGGATCGCCACGGGAAACGCCGAAGCATGCATCCGCGACGATCCGGCGGCGGGCCGCGAACGGCCACCTCCCCCCCCGAGGGCTCACTCCAAGTGACCAGGAGTGTCCCCCCGCCTGGCGGGCTTGCTTAATCGCGAGAGGGTTAACCCCTTACCCCTCCCACCCAAGCCCACGCGGCCAGTCTCCAACCACCCACCGACGAGCGCAAGCGCCCGACGGCAGACAGAGAGGAAACCGACCGACCACAAGCGAACTCAGGCCTCCGGAGAGACCCGAGTATCCCCTCCCCCCCAAGACAGCCACGGACGGCCTCCTGCCAGATCCGTGACCGTCTTACTCCCAGGGCTGTACCCCCAGCCCTCCCCCCCGTGACTGATTGCACCGGAATACACCAGTGGGCGATGGGGTCGTCACGTCCCGACGCCGAAGATGTATTTAGGGTCTGCAAGTATTAGCTCAATCTATAAATTCCTTACATTCAATGGAACTTTTGTTTGTTTTCGTTGGCCAGTGAATTTTACTCCAATATATTCGAAGAATATTATCCAAGAAATTTTAAACCTAGATGTATTTAGGGTCTGTAAGTATTAGTACAATCTATACATAAGATTCGTTTAAATTTTACGTTTGAAACCATTCCGTATATTGAAATGAAATGGAACATTTGCGTTTCGTTTGTTGGTAAAATTTATCTCAATATATTCTAAGAGTCTTATAATGGAGATTTTAAAACCTAAATGTATTAAGGGTATGGAAGTATTAGCTCGATCTATAGATAAGTTAAGCTTAAAAATTGTCCTAATGCTATTTATAGTCTGTGGCAGTTTTAAATGTTATGTTAATTTGTATCCATTATCAAAATAGTTATCAAACTTTATAAGACTTTGTAGGAGATTTTTGCGTATTTACTTAGATAGATTGTTATCCAATTCGGTTTGAATCAGTTAGTAAATTTGGTATAAAGGAAACAATGTACCCGTGATATAAATATGCACAAATGGTTTTTTTACGACCATAGTCGGTTTTCGTATATTTTAATTCTATTATATCGTAACTTGTTGACAAGACTCTGTTTCTGTGAAAAGTACTTTTTTTTTACCGTCTCTTAATGATTTTTACTATGTATGATGGCCCATACAGTGCTTTCTTGTAATAAATTGATTGTATATTGCCTATTTTTAAGACTAATCAAGATACCCCAAGATAAGATATCACTAGTCATTGGATTAAACCCATAAAAGACGGCTAAAAAAGGCTATCCTACACTAAGATTATTTAATAAATCAGGGGCATATGGAAAAGTGGACCTATTTATAAGACACCTATAAATACCTAAATCCATCTAACTAAATATTTTTACATATCACACCAATACTACATAGAATTGTGATTTTTTTTTATCAACGCCTTAAACGAGCAGCAGTAAATCACTGATTAAAAAATTAAAATTTTTCCAACTTTCAATATTGATTATTTTTGTATAAAACTAAGTACCTTATCGAAAGTCCATTCCAACGAAAACTCTTTGAAAGACAGAACTAGTGTTTCCACGTCACTCTCCTTGCACACGCCGGCCACGTTCGCGTTGTTTGGAACAAAAGTATTGGCGTCCTGGAAATATAAATTAACATGTTTAAAGACAAACAATATTAAAGACATATATACTAAACTAGCTTTCCACCCGCAGCTTCGCCCGCGTGGAGTTCGGTTATATCGCGTTTCCAAGAGAACCTTTTAAAAGTCTGGGATAAAAACTATCCTATGTTCTTTCTCAAGGTCAACTCTATGTCTGTACCAAATATCATTAAAATCGAACTGATTTAGGCATGAAAGCGTAACAAACAGACAGACAGACTGAGTTACTTTAGCATTTATAAATATTATAAGTAGGGATAATCACTGATTAATACATTCCCAAAGAGGGTTGGTGTCAGGCAGGAGGCCGGTCGTAAAAATAACTAGCCAAAACTATTCATAACATGTAAGGCAGACCCTGGCTAAAGTTGGGAAATTGCCAGGTAGAAGAAGAGGAAGGATCGTGATATACTATCTGAGACGTCTCAACAACATTTTTTATAACACGAAAATTTTAAATTAAAAAAACATAGGTATAAGGTAAAATATCCAATTCATATCCAATTAATATTCTTGATTTCATATTTACGATATTATATCACAAAATATGAACAAATGACTAATAGCTTTATACAGGGTGACTGGTGAATTACTATCAATATATATTATATCCTGTATATAAACAATGGTTACGTATTGATATTCCAATCGCCTATAAACACTTAATTTGTCGTATATTACATTTCATTAAGCGTTTGAAAGCAGTTTTAACATATACGCCTAAATAGTGATTTAGAATTACGAACAGAAAATAATGTTGTGATATTTTATATTTATTACTTTCTGCAATTCTGAATATCGTTTTGCGAGTTTACCTCTAGTAAATACTATTAAAATAGAACCTAAGTCGTAATAACTTAACTTTTGAATTTATAATATTAGTACACCAGCTATAGAAAAATACTAAAAATTAATGCAAAAAAGTTATATTAAAAAATTACGACAAATAAGAGTTATCGAATTAAAGGAAGGATTCGGTTAAGATATTGAACAAGGCTTCTTCATTTAGTAAGCTCGTTTTTACAACATTATGTATTAAAATTACGGATTTTGGTTCTGAAGCGAAATTCTAACATATTTACTGTACTTGCTTTGGTATTAATACTAATTTATTAATTCAACTTAAAATTCACATACTATCATAATTTTCTTATAAAATGAGAGCATACACAAAATCAAACCAGTCACATCTGAACTATAGGACTTAATTACTTATAATGGCCGATGGTTCAACATAAAATGGTTTTACACTTACAGCGCGTTCATTCAACTTGGTAACATATGATATATCAAGAAGAGCATCCACTGTTAACAGAATACATGTCTCTCCGCCTCCATGCAAACGATACGTGGCCGTCATCAAACTTCTTTCAGTTGCTGGCTCCTGAAATACATTAAAATATACGACGATTAACACATTAACCAATATAACTTGATCTGCTGTAACAATATACATAGAAATAAGATCACATTTTGTTTGCCCGTGATATTGCTGCAAAGTATTACCGAAAAGTTCAGAATACGTCGTTAAAATAATAAAATACGTAGTAATTTACAAATATTTAAATGAATACTCGAGAGTCGTATATCTCATTAACATAGAAGATTATTATATACTGCATATATTCAAACTTAAACAAACAAATCATTGATGATACATTCTAAACAAAATGTCCATGTTTTTACGTATTTACTTCAATGATATGAAATTCCTAAACAAATTAATGTAGGCAGAAAATCGTAATATACTCACTGTAGATCCGCCCGGCATTACTGTAGTCTTGCTATATTTAGTCACTCTGGGTCGTCTTGTAGAAGCCTGGCTGTCTAGTTGAAGACCAGCCACAGAACTCACCACCAAAGCTGCCAGAAACATCAACATAACAATCAAATACCACTCCCATTTAATATTAAAGACGCCATTAAAATTATCGTTTTCATCCTCAAAAACTCAACATAATTCTCATAATCATTTGATAAACTAATATCATGGTTAAATTAACTATCAGTTAAAAATAATATTGATTTATGGATTTGTAATAAATTTTATCTCATTTAAGATGCATTAATCGAATCTCAATATGTGATTTAATGTTTTATTTGGTATATTTATTTATAGCATGAAATATTTCACTTCAATTAAATTAAACTTTGTTCGTATGAATTAAATTGTTTTTGAACACTTTCACTTCTTAAAAACATATATATTTGTTAAATCTACACACAAACACAGTTAGGATGCCATCTTAGTGGTCTAACAATGATATAAATTGAAAGATAATACGTTTAGTGTTGTGCAATAATATTATTGCTACGAAAATATTAATCTGCTTTATAACTTAAATATTTTCAAGCTTAATTTTCATCTTATTTAAGATTAAGTATTAAAATATTGCGTCTTAAAGAAGTTATGCAAAATTATTGATAAATTACAAAATAATAAAATTCTCGCCATCACTATAATCATTGCATTTATAATAACGACAGTGTTGCCACATGTAAAAACTCCTCAGATATGGACAGTTAATTTCATTTATTTACTAAAAATGATGAATATATAATAGTAAAAATGTGTAATGGCAACCCTATCTAAGCAGTCATGTACTGCCAATTTCGTTTGATTCTTATCCGGGCTTTATCTGACCCAGATGGGAATTTAAATCCGGATAAAGAGCCGGCAATTTTAATGCAGAATGAAGTATTGTTGGTATTAGGATAAAGAATGGTAGTTTATTTAAGATTTAGTTGTGCAATTTAAAATAAAATGGTTTTTATTCTGCGATAGTTATTTGTTTAACGAATTACTTATATCTAGTGCTCTGTAAATTAAGAATTTGTTTAGGTTACGTCTTGCATTGATAAGAATAAAATTTTAATCGTTAGATAATTCTTATTATTAAGTTAACTTTTAATTAGTACTTTTAGACGCAGACGTACGTTAAATACAACTTTTTTTAGTAAATTGACATTCTAATTTCTAGTATCTTGATGATATATAAAATTTATTGCATTCTTCGAGAAATTTGCTATACAAAACATAAATAATTTTTCAAAACAGACTAATAGTTTTTTAAAACCAAGGAAATTAATCCCCTATTTTGTCATAAAACATAATAATATGCAATACAATTAATAAGTTATAAGAACAAAACATTCAAAGTATTTATAAACAAAAACTTTCTTATCTGTAATGGATACCTAATTTTCTACCAACCGCGGTCCAGTTTGAGCCAATTTACTGTTCCATATAAGAGGCGAACTAATTAGTTCGATAAACTAACTTTATGACCTTCGAAAATGGTGTCTAAAAGTATTCGGGTTAAAAAGCGTGTTCTTTCACCAAAAAAACGGTTTATTTTAAATATAATTTAAATAAAAACTCTTAATGGCAGAATAAAAATGTAAAGAAGTTATAGAAAACGCGGAATAAAATGAATAATTTGATAAATAGGTAGTACATAATGTGTATTTCTATTTTCTATCCTTTTTCTCAACTCTGACGGAGTATATTATACTAGAATGTTTGAATACTTAATAATAACTTTTTAACATATAACATAGATACTTATTGTTTCTAGTTGTATGTAGTTTTTTAGTATACACGAAAAATATTAGTTTCATTTAAATAAATAGGTACTCGCGAAAATCTTAGATATAATTATACTTGTATCAGATATTCTAAACAGACTTAACTAAACATAAATTCTATTCATTCAAAGCTAGAAGAACAACATTTAGTTTTATAATATATATACTCTCAGTTTACAAGTATTCTAGTTATTTCATTAGAAAAAAAATAGAATATATTAAATATTTGATAACGGTATGGACCGCTCAGTATACCTAAACGTTTCATTACAAAAAATACTTTAGATTTAAACATAAATGCGAGGAGAATTGTGGATGTTGGATACATTTTAATGGCAGCTTCCCCAATTTGGAAACTATGTTAAAGATTATATAAATACATGATTCTTCAGGTTTCTACAGTAAACTAGAACATGGTAGGGTATTATTGATTATTTAATTCTTTACAAATCGACTTATACATTATGTCCACTAAACATTTATCTATTTTTCTATTATCTTCTCAAAGTCTCAACTGCAATTTGTTTCAAGTGAATGAATATTGCTCAAAGGTTCCACTACGGTGAATGCCGTTAATTCATTGTCAGGGGGATTTATATTGAAGATCATAACCTTTGGAATTACTTTGCTATCAAAATGTTATCAAATTTCAAAAAAACACCTACGCATTTACTGTCAAAAGTGATTATAATCGGAAGCACTTATTCGAGTCATAATACAACAAAAGTGACTTACAATTTTTTGGTAAAAGTGTACACTGTTACATTGCAGGACCGAAATTAACCAAATTATAAAAAAATTTTTATTTTTTATAATTTGGTTAATTTTTTATAATTTTTTATAATTTTTTATAATTTTTTATAATGAATTTTAATATTCATTGAAAGGCTAGTTTCGCAAGGAAACTAGCCTTTCAATGAATAAAACGACTTTAAAATTGATAGATCTTTTTGTGAGCTACAATGACACACACAGATAGACATCACGTCAAACTTATTACCCTCCTCTTTTTGCTCTAGTTATAAAAAACAAAATATCATCTTGCTCTCTTTTACCTAATTTTCCTGAAACATTAACCTCTTCAGATATTCTCTAAAAATTTGACTAAGTGGCTGTAGTAGAAGTTATTTTCGTAACGAATAGTTATTTCAAATTCCTATATTTTTAAACATCAAAACTATACTAAACTTAACTGTGCTAAAAATCAAACGCTGAAAATTATATAACAAAGAAACCAAGACAAGCAATGGACTTGCGAATTGAAGTTCCAAATTTCAAACATCTCATTTGAAAAACTAAATAACAAATGAACCATTATATAAAATTTATTGAACAATAATAAATTTGAAACATAATAAAAACTCCATTTGACTAAAATTTTGTTTTGTAATTGCTAAACGCTTAATTATTTGAGATTGTCGTGGCCGATAAGCCTAAACACCAATTTCCTTTACAAAAACCTCATCTTTAATATAATTTATTGTATATAATACAAACGCGTATGTGTCAGAAAGTCATGTGAAAGTCAGTGGTGACCTAGTGGTTAAAAGGCTCGCCTCTCAGGCCTCGGCCTCGAATTTTGCGGGCAGCGGAGCGGCAGCGGGAGCGGCAGGATCTTACGCGTATAATCAAATGAACCGACCCTCGAATACAGCGGTGCCCGCTGCCCGCTAGTCTGGAGAACAGTATGCGTTTCCGTGCGGCCGCCGCCGCCGCTCCGCTGCCCGCAAAATTCGAGGCCGAGGCCTCATACATGAGGGCGCGGCTTCGATCCTGGCAAGTACCAATGTGATTTTTCCGAGTCATATGTACTTTCTAAGAGTATTTAGACATCACTAATTAATGCATTCCCAAAGAAGGTTGATATCAGGCAGGTCGTAAAAACAATTAGCCAAAACTATTCACAACATGTAAGGCAGACCCTGGCTATAGCTGGAAAATTGCCAGGTAGAAGAAGGAGTGTCAAAAAGTAATGAATTATGACCTAAAAAGGGGTATAACAGTTGGGAGTAAAATTCAGTGACTTAAAATCCTCATAGCCTCAAGCGTCATGCACCACTAAAAACAATTTCCAACGAAAACTAGTTAATAGTTTCTGTTGTTAGTTTATTTGTTTTCTGATATAGGAAATTGAAATGTCCACTTGGTCGAGAAATATCTTCATTAAATTTAGATATTATATACTTTATGTTTCTTTTGTTATTTTACTACATACTCCCGACTTTCATAAAAAAAGCGTAGTACATCCGAAAATATAACTTTTATTTAAATGAATTCTAAACAAAATCTTTAGTATCATTACATATTTATGTAATTTAAAGCAACTCCTTCAGCTTTTCAATGCTATTTGCAGTTAATGTCTAGCCTAAAAAAGTTTAAAAACTATCGTAATTTATCTTAGGTTAGTTATTTTGTAGTTAGAGAAATCTGTTTCAATGTTGAAAAAGGCTTTGATTACTCTAGACGTTTTGAAGCTCAAAAACGCTTCTATTCAAAGAAATATATCTTGCATTACGGGATAGAATTTTATAAATAACATTTTTTATGCTATTGAATAAAAATGTTATGATTCTTCTTCTACTACCTGGCAATTTCCCAGCTTTTAGCCAGGGTCTGCCTTACATGTTGTGAATAGTTTTGGCTAATTATTTTTACGACCGGCCGCCTGCCTGACATCAACCCTCTTTGGCATGAATCAGTGATGTCTAAATACTTTTAGAAAGTACATATGACTCGGAAAAATCACATTGGTACTTGCTCGGGCCAGGATCGAACCCGCGCCCCCGTGCATGACAGGCGGGCCTTTTAATCACTAGGCCACCACTGACTTATGATTATTTCGTACCTATCCTACCGTAAAATAAGAAAAAATAATGGTTATAATGTATGTTCTGAGTTAGCGTACATGAAAATTGGAACAAATTGCAATTGCAAATTCCAACCTCCTAATTTTCTGGCACGCAAGCCGTATTTTCCAATTTTCAATCTGATAAAAGCGTCTTTTCATACATTTGGTCTAGATTTTCATTTTCCGGATATAGCGACCGCTTATACCGAAGTAATTTAAAATCAAACACTCTCATCACTTCCTTGAAAACGATTACAGGAAAGCAATTGAAATGTCAGTTTTTATATCTGAATGTAAATCAAGTGTTCGTGGGTTGAATCTTAAAATATATGTAGAATTATACCAATGGATACTGAGAAAATAATTTTAGTAAAGAATATACATTTAGTTTCTTTAATACAATAAATTTTTAACATATATAGAAAAAGGGTGAATGTTGCATGCTTAGACTTAGCGTACAGACCTTTATTCTTTTATTTGCATCTATATAAGCGCGTCTTTTAGATAACTACTG